ACATAACTGCGTATATATAAACAAATTATAGATAACTCTAAATCTAAATACGTAAAGATATTTTTCTTTTTTTTTTTTTTTTTTACCCAAAAAATTTACATTTGTTGCGGCATTATAAGCGCCCGCTCGCCTGTACTGAACAAACTTATTATGGAATGTACAAATTATTTTTTTTTACCATTATTATCTCGTAACTCCTTTTCTTAGGTAGTCATACATCTGCTGGAACGTATGGAATTATTTTTTTGTGTTGCATCAACATACTTGTCACTTCATTAACATATATATTTATGCATATATATATATCTAATGAAATGTGAAATAAGCATGTTTAGCTGAAAGAGGGAAATTACCGCTGGCCTTTGCAGTCACCCAAAATTATTTTGTAAACCATACATACATTGCTACCTATAATAAGTGCAAATTCCTGATACGTCCAGCAGCTTCTGAATTGACTTAATACTATCATGTATCTGTCCATTATCTACTCACATTCATTTCATTTTTCTCCCTAAAAACTTCATTCCACATACTATACTTTGTGTCTTATAGTTTCGATTGTACAATATCTATGTTCTTTTTCTGTTTAAGATAAAGTTTGTACAACCATCACATATTATGCTGTTTCTTACGCGCAATCTTGCGTATTCTTTTCACTTTCTAATTCAGATATTACAATTTCATATTTTTTTGTCATAAAAGACATTCATTTGCAATCTGTATACTGTCACTTCAATCTCATTTAATATATATAATTGTGCTAAATATTCTTTTATCATTAACAGTTTTTTTCTTTTATACACTCAGTAGAGCCGATTATCTTAATTGATAATTCAATGTCAAACTACACTACAAATGATTACTATACAGTGAAAGAGAAATGTTCGACATGGGATATTTAAGGTCTTTCTTTAGTATAACTCCCTGTCGCCTGTTGCTTTTCTGTACATACATCCTCTTCATGCAAGACTGAGAGAGAGAATTATTTGTTTTCAATTCAAAATATTTACTCAATTAATTAGATTTTCAGCACTCTTGTTACTTGTTTGCAGTATTTATCAACAATTATGTCATTTATGTAATGAATATGTACTTATTAAATGCTTGGACTCTAATATCAACTTGAATACAGTATTACAGAAGGATGCTTAGATGAATCAATGTGAGTATGCATGGAAAAAATGTGTTTAAGTAAAATCTCGAAACAAGTCGTAATATTTTAAGAGTCGGGGAACGTTGTTGGTTGCAGGCGACGAGTCTTGCATTCCTGCTACTAAAATTGTTTTACTTGGTGTACAAGTAGATGGCAACGATGAGACCATAGAGACCCAATACTTCTGCGAAGATTAGAATCAAGATCATACCGACAAACAGGCGAGGTTGTTGTGCGGTACCTCTTACACCTGCATCACCAACAATACCAATAGCAAATCCAGCAGCTAAACCAGAAAAACCTACGGCTAAACCAGCACCCAGATGTACAAAACCCCTAATAAAAAGACCAAAAATTGTTTGTTAATTAGAAAAGAAAAAAAAAACAGTTGATTATATACATTTAATATATATTTAATAAAGCAAAAAAAAAAAAATTAAAATTAAGTTAAGCCACAAATCGACTAAATAAAAATATGTATCATTAGATTTCTAGAATAATTAATGAAATGATCTGAAATAAATCTGAATTTTTTTCAATATGTAAACAATAAATAATTGAAATATTTAAATGACTAAATTATATTTAAATAATAAATGATTAAATTATATTTAAAGTTAATTCAAAATTATTAAATTTTTAATATCCACAAAATAATATTGATATAATCTTAATAACTTTTTCCTGAACTATATTTTGGATATAAAATATCAATAGAAACAATAATAAATAAAAAATCAGTATGATATAATAATTTAGGTTTCAAATATGTATAATATTACATATATAAAGGACAAATTTAAACTTTTTTGTATACATATTAATTATTATATTTCTTGATTTGAACTATCCTAAAAGAATTATGAATAAGTATACAACATACTTGAATAAAGTATATCCTTTAGGTTCTTCTAGACCACCAGCAATTAGAACAGCTACTACAAGACCATAAATGGCAATGATACCAGCCATAACAACAGGAATAATTGATTTCATGATAAGTTCTGGCCTCATAACAGACATAGCTGCAATTCCTGTACCTGACTTTGCTGTGCCGTATGCTGCTCCTAAAGCTGAAAATAAAACAAATATGATATTTTATTTAATTTCATTCATCTCTATTTATTAATTACATAAACAATTATTTCATAATTAGATCTACAATTATACATGATATAAATTTTTTTATATATATCATTCAATAATTATAATATCCAGATGTTATAAAAGTTTTATTTTATATATTAAATTTATAATTAAAACTATTTAAATAAACATTTTATATCTTTATAATTATAATATACAATAATAAATTATAATTATTAAGATAATAATTATTATTATTATTAAAATTATTTCTTATTTAATTATTAAAGATTTAACAAATTTTGTATTGAAATTATTCTTTAGACATTAAGAACTATCAATTTCGTTTAATATTGATCTTTAATTAAAAGGTTACAGACGGCCAATTTCTATGATATTAATATCACAATTTTATAGATATTTCTCAAAATTTCAGAATTGAAAAAAATATATAAAATTTCAGGTAATGCCATGACAAATAATTTCTTCGTGAGTGAAAATCGTAGTCACATGATTCTCACGTTGGCAGTCACATGATAATCATGTAAGTCCCATCCCGCGAGTAGGGGGCGTGGCACAAGTAGATAATTTTTTTTTTTTTAATTTTTATGATTTAATCAAGTTTACGTTTTAAATAAGTTAAAAAAATATTTATTATATATGTATGTATACAATATATATATACATATTTATATACATATATATATATATATATACACACATAAAATAAAGATAATATAACCACGAAATATTTAATTTCTAGGTTTTATATGGATATAAATCAAGATTTTTCATGCATTCCAAACTTCGTAAATTATCAGACTTTTCTTGTATGTTATCGTCCATTCAAGACTGGCGCACACGGGAAAAGGGATTCGTATTGATTTCCTTGATAGGGACTCGCCGACGATACTTCAAAGTTTAAGTTTGCCTGTTTTGAACATGTTTTCTTATCATAAGAGGATATAAAAAGAATTGAAAAATCAATTTAAAATTGAAATTGATAGACGTAATATTAATAATTGCATCTAGCGGAATCTTCCATTGATCCGTAAATCCTGTATTAGCTACCTCCCGCGCCCATGAACCGATACATACAGACTTTTATTCAAAAACTATCCAACGAGGTCAGCATTACGAAATAACAGCCAATATCTCAATCCTCAAACGCGGCGCATGAATGTTTCTCTCGTAATGTAAAATTAAATTGGTTGGACTGCATTTACGGAACATTACGAAATCCTAGATCTGTGTGCCTAAAAAAATGGCGCTTCAAAATTGAATCTCTATCCTTGATATCTTCAGTACTTCGGATTTGGACACACCTGTATTGGGCGTACTATATTATATATCACCGGGTGACAGATTTGACAACAATAAAACGTACCAAAATAAATTTACGAGAGTATGAAAATAGGTATTTATTCTTATTAATTGTTAAAATGTAATTGGTAATGAATAAAGAATAGAATAAAATTTATATGAATAATTAATGAATATAAATGTTCATTAAAACATTGATTGCACAAATTGATTAATCTTCAACATTTATTTTATTTTTCCATACTTTATGCCATTTGTAGCAAAGAAAATGGCGTGTATATGATAGAACTGCCAATGTTATAATATATTTTTAAGGGTTATTCTTTCGATAATTGTATTGTCTTTTATTTTACAAATTGTAAATTCTTGCATTCGCGCTCTTTTTGGTCAAACATCCAGACCAAATTTAAACAACTGAAACTCACCAGAAAATATAATGGCTGAGGCAGCGCCCATTACTCCAAAGAAGGGCGCATAAATAGGATGATCTTCGTCGGACATTGTGATGTGTTCAAGACTCGTAGGTCAAATCGATCACGAGTATTTACAGGTTGTCGAAACGCGAACGTCGGATGAAGAGCGATCTTCACGCACTCACTTCGCTAAACTAGTGCCACTGTCAAATATGGCTTATCGTGCAGGAGTGCGGGTCATGTGACGAGTGACGAGTGAGAGAAGAAGAGGCTGCCGAAGCTTGGTAATGTCTATTCTCTTGCCATTGGCTCGCGACTGCGGACTACAGCGTTGCAAGCGAATCCTGTGCCGTCTTTCATCTTTTATATCTGACGTCAGTCGCGCTATAGACTCTCTATTCGATCATCGCGCACGCCTATTGCGCAAGCTTTTGCTCTTTGGAGCGCGTGACACGCGTTTCCTGTATTTATTTATGTTTTACAATCATTTCTATTGCTTAAATTCATCTAGAAATATATTGAATATTGCTTTGGAAATCTCATTTATCATTTAAACTTATTAAAAAAAGATATAAAAAAATTATAATGAACTTTGAGGTTATTTTATTAAAATTCACTTCAACACGTGACTAAATTTAAACAATGATGTAGTTAGTTGTATTTTCGATGAAAAAGAATTAATTAAATAAAATTGTAATGATTTTTTAATATATTTATAATATGAAATATAAATATTCTTTCGATAATTTTATAGATAAAATTATGAAAACTTGGATATAAATTTTACATTTGTACATGAAATTTGATACATATGTTTTATTTTGAATAACTTATTTTAATTTAATTTTTTCATAATAATAAAATTTTTATTATATATAAATTTTTAAATTTAAATTTTTATTAAATACATAAAAAATTAAATTTATATAAAATATCATGAAAATTATAATAATTGATATTATTAATAATCTTTTGAATATACTAAAACAATATTAATAATTTAATTGTAATTATTCTGTATTTAGTTATTATTATATTATTTTACATTTGATATTTGTATTTTATATGAATTTGATAAAAAGTTTTTTGAAATTTTGAGCCAACGCCTTAATTGTTATACATGGATTCATTGAACGGAAGTCATATGCAGTGGCTGTAACTATAGTATGCTTAATTCAAATGTGGTATTAAACGTGATCGTTAAAGAATTAATAAAAATTATATATTTTAAAGCATCATGAAATTTGCATATAAGGTAAAAAAAAATGTGTTTGTGATTTATGAAATATTAATTATTTTAATTAATGTTTTAAATATATAGAAATTGTTAAAATTATTTAATATATTCCTAACCTAGGTCTACTTTTTAATATGTATAACATTATATTTAATATAGTATATAATACTAGTTTTCAAAAATTTTTTAAAATGAAATTATATATTTTTATCTAAATTAGATTTAATTATCTAAATTAAGATAACAAAAATTTATTAAAGAAAA